CCGGGTCCTCCTTTTACCCACCTCGCTGAGTCAACCTTGAGCCGGTGAGATTTGAACAGCCGAACTGCAGAACTGCAGTCCGCTGAAGTAGCCTGCAGTGCTGCATTTAACCACTGCGCCACCTCGGCTCACCCACCCTTGAGTTTTTGTAGATGAAAGTAGGCTCAAACTTGGGTCTCCTCAGGGCTAGCCCAGCAATTAATCACTATATCACACTTTCACTTGCCTGAGGCTTTATTCAGAAATGTGCTAGCTCAGTTCTATGGAATTAACAAAGGTAAAAAAAATGCCCTTGCGTATAAATTGCTGTTGCAGCAGCAACTGGCGCAAATAAGGCCAGAATAAGAAACCATGTTTGTTTGAAACTCTGCCAGTTAAGGGCACATGGGCAGCCATCTGCCAGGGACGGCTGCGCTTCTCCTCCTTCCTGTGTCACCCTGGGCCCTGTAACTGCAACATCCTTTAGTAAATGCAGCTGTTGCCTGGGTCCTATTTGAGAATTCATTGGAACTGCTATTTATCAGAGTCGCAGAAGGTCACAATCTGGATCCTGACCTAAATCCTACATCGAACAAAGGGCAACTAAGCATGAGGAGAGAGGCTGAGAGGCTTTCAATTATTACTGTTTCAGAGGAAGATACTTCCCGTGGTAGTCCTCTTTTGCAGAAGACAATGTTCTGTTTCCAGGCTGCCTCAATTCTCAATTAAAAGCTAATTTTCCAAGATTTCCCGTGGAAAAGTTACAAGTTGTTTCATGCTGCTATATTGCTAATGCTGCCATCCTTTTTGGGATTTACCTTTAAGAACAAGCCATTGGACTCATTGGGGGCTTACTTCTATTAAGCACGTGTAATAGGATTGTGTTGCACAAAAGTTTGCTGTTCCAATCCTGTTTTCGACTCACAGCAGCTAAAAAATCTATTCCCTTTATAGCACAAGGATACAAGGCAATTTGTGGGTGGAATTATATAAGGAATGACAGTCTCTTCTTCTGTGTGCACCTCCCTCAAAGTCACTTAGTCTTGATTTTGTTTGTTTTGAAGATAATTTTTAATTTTTATTTCACTGACGGTTTTGATTACCTCCAGATCTTGTCTTGTTCTCTGATAGAACTACAATGCATATTTACACTGTTGAGAAGATACTTTGGCTTCCCATCTATTTTTCTCTGTGTTTAGCAATAAATCATACGTCTTGGGCTTATTTTCATATTTGATATGCCTAAAACTGTAATATGGTATGTTATGGTATTTAATTTTATTTCCTTTTTTTTTTACTAGATATATTTTTACATATATGAAACGATCCTTTTCTTACAGTAGTTTAATTGAGACAGTTTTTATTTAGACCTTTCTCCTTCATATAATTCTCATTTTAACAGTCAGGGTATGTCAGGAATAGCTCCTCTTCTTTATTTATTGAGATAGATAGATAGATAGATAGATAGATAGATAGATAGATAGATAGATAGATAGATAGATAGATAGATAGATAGATAGATAGATAGATAG